TATTATTTTTATTTTATTATTTTTATATGCGCAGCAGCGGCCACTACACTAATAAATAAATGTAAATATCCCTCTCTGCTCGTGCTCATCAATCACTTTTGCCTAACCACATTTACTAATTGTGTGCTTCTAACAAGAACAAATTTTCTTTCTTTTTCTTCTTTTAAAAATGTTATTATTTTGAGTAATTGTTTTTTGATTTTTTTTGGAATTTTTTAATTTGGGAAAATTATTTTGAAAATGCTGATAATTTTATCTATATTTTACAGTTTTTATTAGAACCCTTACTATTATTTCTTTAAATTTAGCCCTTCTGTTTTCCTTAAAATAATGGAAAATCCCTATGGAACTACTTCAATTTTGCCTAATTATTATCATAACACTAATAATAATAATAATAATAATAATAACAAAATAAACAACAATTCTTCTCTTTCACCCCATCATTTAGCTATATCTAATTCATCAGAACAACAACAACAACCCCCTCCAATCATTTCCTCCTCCTCTTCTCATTCTTATACTTCATCCTCTCCTTCATCACATTACCGTCCTTCATCGTTGAACAATTATGACAGTGGTGGACTTTATCGTGCCAATCAAATTTTTTCTCCAATATCCGGTCCGCAACTTGTTGCTAAGCAACAATATCAACATTTTAATAACAAACAGAATGAATTATTAATCCCCGAGGAAAGCAATGGCAGTCGTTTTTCAATGGTGTCAGCTTTGTCAATTGTTGATCCTCCCCGTCCTCCTTTTATTCCAAAAAAGCCTGTATTTTATTCGTCTACAAATGTTGTAAATAATAAAGAAATTTTGTCAAATAAAAATAAAAATGAAGGAAAAATTGAAGAGGAAAGAAAAGTAAAATTAGCTACAAATTATGAAGATGATTTAGATTTTAATAATAGAAATAACGGTCACCAACAAAAGCCTCCATTCCTTCAACAAATGCAACATTCCCCAAAAATGAAACACTCTTCTAAAGTAAATAATTCTAATGGTAGTATTAGTATTTATCATCGAAATAACCCTCCCCCTCCACCACTTCCACATCGTTATCACAATCAACAAAACTTCAATTCTTCTTATCCCCAACACATTTATGCTCCACCTATTACCAGCACAACAGTTACTACAACAGCAATAACAACTACTTATATTGGTGGAAAAATACCTTCAATTAATAGTTCTATTGAGAATTCATCGTGCAATTGTAGCGAAAATTGTAGCAATAAAAATGAAAAATGTAGCAATTTTAGTGAGAAAAACAGTAGCACAGATGGAAGTACTACAAATAGCTGTAGTAATAATGAAAATATTTATGGAGAATCTTGTTACGGAAATGAGGCTTCAACTGGAAAGGACGTTTTAATTAATAACAAATTGTTAAAAATGGGAAAGCCTACTTGTTTTGAAATTGCAGAAAAGTTGGGGGGAAGTAATTGTACTAAAAATACTAAAAATTGTACAAGTTATTTTCCTGTTGTTGAACAAAAGGAAGAGAAAGAATTTAAAAAAGAATTAACTTTAACTAACAACAAAAATTTATTTAAAAATTCCCCTCCCTCTCCTCATCAATTAGAATCTTCTGCTTCTTCTGTTAAGTCTGTAGCAGCAGCGCTTGTAACAGCAGATTTACGTGCTCGTTTTCGTGAAAGTCAAAATAATTTGAATGATAAAGGGAAAAGACATTCTTCAAATTGTGTTTTACAACAACAACAACGGCGTCTTTCATTAGTTGGGGCTATATCAGATTCCAATCAGGTGTTGAATTTTGGATTAAAATTCTGGAGAGTTGTATCCGCTTGTTTTTAATTATTTTTTGATTGATTAATTTAAGGATTTTTTTAAATTATTGGAAAATCAATTTAATGTTTTTTTACAAATTCCTTTAAAGGTATTAAATTCCTTAAAATAAAAATTATGCAAAAAATATACTTTAATTTGTTCAATTTATCATTCAAAGAATGTTGCTCTCTCTCTCTTTAAATTAGTTTATCAAATTCTTTTTTTTCAATCTGGTTTCTTAAATAGAAATGTTGTAATAATTTTTTGAATATTTTTTTTTAAAAATTAGTAATTTTTCTTTTAAATTAATTGACCGATTTAAGGAGCTGTCACTTTTATTTGAATTTTCAAATTGTAATGAATAAGATTTTTCAAATATTTTAAAAATATATTCACACAATTTCTGACAAACAAAGCGGATACAACTTTTTCTCCTTTCCATCTCTAAATTTCCAAGTCCTCTCTCCTCAATAGATGACATTCTCTTCTACCGCAACAATTAGTTCCTATGGTTGTTCTGATGCTGGAAAAACACGTGAGGGTCGTATTTACGCCACTGCAGGTTTTGGGGCTGCTGCAGCTGCTCGAAATAGAAAGAAAAAATTAAAAAATAATAATGGAATAATAGAAAATAAAAATAATGAAATTTGTGAAGAAGCGAATGTAAAAATGAGACAAGAAGGCTCTCAAACATGTTTAGTTAATGATAATAAGCAAGTGAACGTTTCCAACTTGACGAACAATAAAAATGATCAAAATTCTTTTGGAACTTTAAAAAGCAATAGCGGGGCTTCCATTGGAGCTTTTTCTTTGGGAAATGAATTTATTTATGAAACAACGGGAAAATCTACCCTTGGGAGAAGAGCACAAAAATTGGCACAACGAGCAGCACTTAAATTGAGTAAAAGTGGGGGAACACTTTCAGCAGAATTAAGTAGTTCGGCTTCGGCAATTTATGCACTTTTTAGTGGAAATAATTCAAATAATAATGGATTTGTTAATGAAAAATGTTTAAATGGAGAGAATATTAGACCTGGAAGTGATGATTTTTTGTTATTAGGGAAAAAGAAAGGAGGAAGTAAGAGAAAGGGAAGGAAGAAGTTGGAGGTGATAACTTCTACAGGCTGTTATTGGATGGTTATTGACAAAATTTTTTAATTTTTGTTAAATTTAAAGTTTAATTTCTGGTGATACATATTTATCATACACATTAGCGTTATTTTCAATTTACAAATCACGGGATTTTTTTATTAATATATTAATTTGGGAGTGTAAATCTTAGGATATCCTCCGGAACTGTAGAACCGAGCAGAAAACTCCTCGGTTCTTCTGCTCGGTTAGGTTTCCGAACTGACACCCATATTCGAGAGGAAATATTTTTTCTAACACCTTTTGAATAATTTAAAATATATATTTTTTAAAAATAAAAACTAAATTAATGTTTAATTATTTAAAGGACAAAACAACCTTAGTTTCAAAACACACAGCAAAGGGAATTGACTTTCTCGATAGTTTCGGCTTGTTCATTAAAGAACGAGCTCAAATAGAAGAGGAATATGCTAATAAATTGAAGTTTGTTTTTTTCTGAATTTTTAATTTTTTTAAAATAAATTTTTATCTTCACTATAGAATTTAAATTTTATGTTGAAATTTATTCGAATTTAGCGGCTTAGCTTGTTTGTAACTCCCTCCCCCATGAGGTTGAAAAATCGTATACTATGCTGTCAATGAGTACTAAATATGTATACTAGAATGAGAATATTAGATTAAAAAAACCTCCTGCCATATGTATACAATAGCTAGTTTTCAAAAAGAAGTCATAAAATAATAATTAATGTAATAGATACAAGTACCAGCACCTTTATCTAAATTATCCGAATATTTTAATTTAAAAATCATTTTTTCAGAAATTTATCAAAAAAATCACGGGGTAAAAAGGCTTCTGATGACGAATTTACTTCATCGAGTGCATTCCATGCTGTTTTGGGAGAATTAGAATCTCTTGCTTCCCAACACGAAGTAAAGAATTTTCTTTAATTTTAATTTAAAAATTATTTTTTTAGCTTGTTGTTGAGTGTTTACGGGATGTTCTTCTTCCAAAAATTAACGATAAATGTCGTCAATTTCGAACAGTTCGTAAAAAGCATTCACAGAATTTTGAATTAATGGAAAAGGATTATAATGCTAAAGTAGATGAATTGCAAAAACAGAAGAAAAATTACGAGTAAATTTTGAATAAATATAGGGGATTAATTGGGAGGGTTTGTTAAGAAAAGTTTGGTTAAGTTGGTTGTGCCTGGGGTGTTAATTGATTTAGGGGGAAGTTCGATACTTGTTGGGAGTTTTGTTGTTAATTATGAGTAGGGATCGGATTTATATTGAAATAAAATCGGAAAATATGGCCATAAAATATTGAAATAAAATGGCATAATATTGACAAAAAATGGCAAAAATAAGCGAAATATTGAAATAAATTATCGTTTATTCACTAGCAAAACCCCAAAAAGAAATTGAAATTTAACAAAAAAATTTATCTCATTCTTAAAATCGCACATTAGCTTTATATTTCGACAAGAAATGAGTATTTTTACACTCTCAGACATTTTGAGATTGGCAAAATGTGTTGTGACCTTTTGGGTTTTGCTCAATATTCCATTTTGAGACTTTTGATCAGTGGGACATTTGAAGGCGGAACATTTGGGACGGCCTTTATGGGGATTTTTGTTCAGTAACTCATTCTGAGTTTTTGTTACTTGAGAAATTTGGGAGAAATTTGGGGGGGGGGGCGACATTCAAATAAGGGCTGGTCGCCATTCTATTGAATAATTATCGGAAGGCAACCAACGGTACTGTAGTGAATAATAGTCCACAATATCCCTTTTTCAGCGCCGCAGGCGAAAATTTTGAGAATTTTGGTTGTCAAGCGGCTAAATTTCTTCAATTTTTCCTAAAATTAATGAAAAAACTACAAAATTTTGGTAGAAATATGCAAATATATTGAAATAATTTGCAAAAAGTGCCAAATATTGAAATAACTGGAAAATTGGCAAAATATTGAAATATATCGAAATGTAACTTCGTTCAAAATCATAATATCGTAAAACTAATGGCATATTTGGGCTTTTCTCGACATAATATATTCAGGAAAAAAAAATATATTTCAATACAAATCCGATCCCTAATTATGAGTAGACAATGATGAAAATATGCTTTCATGTTTAAAGTAAATATTTCCGTGCTAAGTAGTAACAATCCAACTCTGAGTCTACTTTTTTTTATTTTTTTTGCTTACGGAAAAAATGTTCAATTTTTTTAAAATTTCTTTTTATCACGAAAAAATATTTCAACCTTTTTATTTAAAAGGGCCTAACAAATTAAATTGTGGAAAATTAAAGAAATTAGTTGAAAATTTTCTTTCTTTATGTTTTTAATTTATTTTTGAATATTCTTTAATATTTTTTTTATTTAAAGAAAAGCACATATAGAAGCCCAAAATGCCCATATTAAACACAAAAGAGCGTTCGAAAATCGTTATTTATCTCGCCATGAAGTAGACAAAGCTCAGTTGGCAGCAAACAATAAAAGTACAATTTGTGAACAAGGAAAACAGGTTTTTTGGATTTATTGTTAAATTTGTCCCGAATATACTCAAAAGTCAATTATAGAATTAATTTTTTTTAATTTTAACTTTGTCAGAAAAAATTATTTGAAATATTTTTTATTTAATATTTTTATTTAAATTTTTTATTTATTTTTTTCAGAATTACGCATCCCAATTAGCTGCCACAAATCAAGCAAAAAGTGATTTTTACAATATTTTGTTGCCTCGATTATTAGAAGAAATGAGACAACTTGAAATTGAACGAATTAATTTTACTAGAGAAATTATGTTGGAAAGTGTTAAGGCAGAAACTGATGTTTTACATATTAAACAAAGGTTTTTTTTAATAATTAAAATGTTAAGAAAAATATTTTAAATTTAATAAAAAAAAAATTTTAATTGTAATTAAATTTGGTAATTTATTTTTATTTTAATTCTCAACAATTTTTCGATTTGTTTTTTACAAATACCCTCTCTAATATGTATTTACGCTTCGAACCGAATTGAGCTGACAAAATTCATAGGAGTGGTTTGACTTTAATAATATATTTGAGATAACACAAAAATTATTTTTGTTTAGTCATTACTTCCATTTAAATTAATTTAAATATTTTTAGGTGTTATGAGGATATGAATAATGCAATTAAAACAGTCAATCCAGAACATGATACTTTATTGGTTGTTGAACAAACAAAGACTGGATATACACATCCTGCTGACTTTGAATTTGAAGATTTTGGTAATTAATTAATTTTGTTGTGGAAAATTTCTCCAAATAAAATTAAGAATATTTTCGATTGTTTAAAAAAATATTTGAAATAAAAAAGAAGTGTCCAAAATATTTTTAATTATTCAAAAATAATTTAAAAATTATAAAAATAAAGCTAGCCCCGTACGGGTCTCGATCCCGTAACCTTCAGATTAAAAGTCTGACGCTCTACCAATTGAGCTAACGAGGCTGTTGGATAACTTTCTCTTATTTTACGTCAAATAAACTTAAATTAAATTTTTAAAATATTCTTTTAATTTTTTAAATAAATTAATTTAATTTTATTCAGATTCAAAATATAAATTTTAAAAAATTGCTTCAAAATATATTTTTTATTTTTAAGGGGATCCAGCTAAATTAATTGAAGATGATACGACATCTTTTGATAGTTCTACGATAAGACGAATTGGAGGGAAAAATGTTAACGGAAAGGGAATTCCTCGAAAACATTCTCTGAAACTTTTTAACAATTCTATTGGAAATAAGGTAATTTTAATTCTTTAAAAATTTTTATTAAAATATTTTTCTTATTTTTTAAGTTATTTATTTTCAATAAATATTTTTATTTTTTTTTTAAATTTGTTTTCAAAATAATTTTATTTATTTTTCTAATTTTAATATTTTCCTTTCCTTCTCCTAACCAGTCAAATTAAATAAAAATTTATTTTCTTTCGTGGCCTCGTTAGCTCAATTGGTAGAGCGTCAGACTTTTAATCTGAAGGTTACGGGATCGAGACCCGTACGGGGCTAGCTTTATTTTTATAATTTTTAAATTATTTTTGAATAATAAAAAATATATTTGACATCTCTTTTTTGTTTAAAATATTTTTTAAATTAAATTTCTTAATTAAATTTATTTTTTAAGAGTAACGGCAATACTAGCACCGGCAGTTCTCACACTTCTTCTGGCTCTAACATTGGAGAATATGGCAGTTTACCGCCTCAACAACGCTGCCGTCGCATTCAAAAGAAACTTGAAGAATTAACTAATGAATTGAGTATTAAAGAAAATTCTAAGGTTTTCACTTTATTTTTAATGGGACTTGCCCCGTTTAAGCATCCAATCAATTCGGTAACTACCCCAGTTTGAGCCTAAGACAAATGGGCCAGTATTATGAAGGTGTAGAGCTCTCTATTCCTCTCTATAGAGCTCTCTATTCCCATAGTTTTTATGGTACTAATTGGGCCTATTGTAAATATTCATAATACTGGACCTTTTGTCTAAAACGCAAATGGGGTAGTTACCGCAATTGATTGGACGCTTAAAAATTCTTGTGGGCGTATAAACTTTTCATTGGACGCCTAAGGTTGTTAGAACGCTTAAATGTCATTTGAACGCTTAAGCTGGACATAGTCTTTTTAATTTTAGTTTATGTAAAATTAAAAAAAATTCATTTCATTTAAAGGAAGGATTAGAACGTCTATTATCTGTCTACAGCAATGGAGGATCCTCAAACAATGGAGGATCTTGGGGTGATCCTCAAATTGTTGAAAAACAAATTGAACATAACAAATGTGAAATTGATGCATTAAGTGAACAAATTAGAAGATTTAAGGTAAATTTAGATTAATTAAAATACTAAAATCCCTTGGGATTTTAATATATTTTTTGTATTTAAAAATATTTGAAACAAAAAATAAATATTTAAATATATTTTTTATTATTCAAAAATAATTTAAAAATTATAAAAATAAAGCTAGCCCCGTACGGGTCTCGATCCCGTAACCTTCAGATTAAAAGTCTGACGCTCTACCAATTGAGCTAACGAGGCCACGAAAGAAAATAAATTTTTTATTTAATTTGTCTGGTTAAGAGAAGGGAAGGAAAATATTAAATTAAAAATATGAAATTATTTAAATCTTATAAAAATATTTTAATTAATTTTTCAGAATCTTCTTTCGGATGCACAAAGCGAATTAAATCAACCATTAGGCGGTGGTGGAGGTGCTCATCTTAATACAACAACGAATTCAACTATTAGCTCCTCTCCAAATTCATCTCCTCGTGGAAGTGCGTGTAGTGGTGGAGGAGGGGGAATTGGAAATAATAATGGTGAATAATTCTAAAATTTTTTGAAAACAAGCTTTTTTAATCCTTTAATATTTTCCAAATTTATCTTTTTTTCAGTTTCTCGTTTGAATGGCTTAAATGGAAATAATCATCATAATGTCGGTGAACGTGGTTCTTATTCTGAGGCTTCCTCCATCTCTTCAGCAGATGGAGCTGGTTCCTCTCTTCATGGTACAAAAATATAATTTTTTTTTAACTTTGTCAAATCATGTACATTTTCCTCTCATTAAGGAGGAGTAACTACTTCTATTGTTGGACATTCAGCAACTAACGGCGGCGGCACTCGTCTTTTGCCGCCTCCACAACCATCTCCAGTACAAATTGTTCCTTCAGTTTCTCAACAAAATACAATTCAACAAACTAGTAGCACTATAAGCACTAGCGGATTTTGTAAAAATAAAATTTTTATATTAAATTACCCCAACCCCTCAATCTCTTTTTAGCCTCAAGCTCTGCTGCTTTAACTCCCGTAACTTCTTCCACAAATATCAAAAACAATATAGCTGATGCTAGCGGTGGTGATTTTTACGAGGAATGTGATGGGCCTGTAGGAGGGATTGATGGAACAGATGGAGGAGTACAACATTCTGATATGGTTTTGGGGACTGCTTTAGCTCGGTGATTATTTGATTTAAAATACAAATATCAACCATCCATTCCAGTTATCACTACGATGCAACACCAGATGAAGCAGGCGGCACAATCATAACAATGAATGAAGGAGACGAATTATTATTGCTTGAGAGGGATATGGGCGATGGATGGACTAGAGTTCGACATAGAATTTCTAATGCGGAGGGTTTTGTTCCTACTAGTTATTTGGTAAATTTTAGACAAAAAATAAATTGGGTTGGTGATTTCCAGTCGACCGACATTCGAGGCATTTTCTCGAGTTTTTCTCATTGAAAATATTATCGTTTTCAAGTCTAAAAAGGGATAATTAATTAACTTGGATAGAAATCCCCGGCAGAAACCTCTCAGTCGTCTAGGGGGGGGGGTGGATTTTTTGAAGATTAAAATATGAATATATGTATTTTTAGGACTGCAAATGGTATGGATCTTCGACATCACGTTAAATGATGCAATATTTATATATATAAAACGACTTACATTTAAATAAATACAAATTTTCTTTTTTTTACCCCTTAAAATTCATTTAAATTTTAATGTTTTTTGTGGGAATCTGTTTTAGTTTTTTGCTCAATATTTAAATATATTATTTTCATAAAAATGGAGAAATATTTTTTTCTCACGAAATATAAATACACAAATTTTTTGTGGAATATTTTAAATTAATTTTAATCCAAAAATTAAAATTTTTATTATTACATAACCAAAAAAATCCAATTTAATTTTCAATTATTTTCGCTTAATTTTTTCTCTGCGCAATTTTTTGTTTATTTGTCATTTTCTGTTTTTTAATTTTTACTAAATATAAAAAAAATATATTTTTTAATATTAATTTTTAAGCTCATTTCTTTATTAAAAAATATTTGGAAAAAAGTTTAATTTTTGGATTCTTTAGTGACAATTATCTGTAAAATTATTATTATATTTTAACTTTTTTTGTTTTGATTTTCTGCTTAATTTTGACTTAATTTTAAATAAAATAAATTAATTATTTATTGAGAAAAATTGATTTAAATAATTAGAAATTGATAAAAAAATTTTTGTTTTTTCCTCGGATAGAATTATTTCTAGACATATGTACATAACAGATAGACGACGAGAATTTAAAAAAGAATAGAGAGAAAGAAAGAATTATTTGTTTAATGTTTGTAACATATAAAATAAATGGAGGTTGGATAATGGAAGTTTTATAAATAACAACCCCTTCTACCGGGGTTATAGTTTTCCTGAATGCGCTTAAAATTAATTTTTGGGAAGCGTGTCTTTTGATGCGCGCATAAAAGTAGATTGAGGCGTTAACAAAAATATTTAGGCATTCAGAAATATTTTCGATTGTTTAAAAAAATAATTTAGAAACAAAAAAAGAAGAGTCCATATTATTTATTATTAAAAAACAATTTAAAAATTATAAAAATAAAGCTAGCCCCGTACGGGTCTCGATCCCGTAACCTTCAGATTAAAAGTCTGACGCTCTACCAATTGAGCTAACGAGGCTGTTGGATAAACTTCTCTTATTTTACGTCAAATAAACTTAAATTAAATTTTTAAAATTATATTTTTATTTTCTTAAATTAATTTAAAATTAATTTAATTTTGTTTAAAAGAATTAAAAAAAAATGCTTCGAAAAATATTTTTTATTTTTAAGGGGATCCAGCTATGGTTTTTCGATTTTCGAGGACCTATATTTCGGTCACAGGCATCTCCGGAAAAAAAGAGTGGTACCCTTCGATTCAGCTCGTCGAGACGAATCGAATGGTATGGGGTTTGTGTCGACGCTATAACTCCGGTATTCTTCAACTATATCCAACAATTCTATTGGAAATAAGGTATTTTAATTTTAAAAAATTATTTTTATTTATTTGTAAATTTTTTTAATGTCATTAAAAATATTTTGAATTTTTTAATTTTTAAAAGAATTTTATTTGGTAAACAGTTTTTAATTTTTTTAATATTTTCCTTTTCTTCTCTTAACTAGTCAAATTAAATAAAAATTTATTTTCTTTCGTGGCCTCGTTAGCTCAATTGGTAGAGCGTCAGACTTTTAATCTGAAGGTTACGGGATCGAGACCCGTACGGGGCTAGCTTTATTTTTATATTTTTTAAATTATTTTTGAATAATAAAAAATATATTTAAATATTTATTTTTCGATTAAAATATTTTTTTAATTAAATTTATTTTTTAAGAGTAACAGCAATAGCAGCACCGGCAGTTCTCACACTTCTTCTGGCTCTAACATTGGAGAATATGTCAATAACAGAACAAAATTAACAGGAAATGTACGAGTTAATAATTAAATTTAATTTAACAGCAACTACTCAAAAAAAAATAAATTTTAATTTTTGTAAAACAAAAAACTAGCTTTTAACGAAAACAATTTACTTTTTACCGATGGTAAAAAATATTGAATTCGTGGTCTCTTGTAGCGTACTTAATTCACTATCCTTGATGCCAGGAAAATTAAGAATTGACCATCCCTTCATAACTTATAAGAGCCGAGAGACTCAGTTGATGTCTGCTAGTGATGGTCGAGACTCTCGGTTAACTCCCGACCATCACTAATGTCTACCCATTTTAACTTTTCATATAGCCATTAAATAAGAGTAGCAGTTTATTTAACTTGTTAGAGAAAAATAGAAAAAGAAATTGCTTTTATAGTAAAAGAAGAGAAAGAAAATATATTTGTTTATATCTACAACATATCTAATATTTTCTTTTAAAGAATTTAATATTTAATGTTAGTGTTTTGTTGAATGTCCGATGTCCGCAAAGTGTCCGTATTTGCGTCGTTCCGCAGACGCTAATTTTTGGGTAGTGTACCTTCGGGTACACGTAAAAGTTTTGTTATATAGCGTGTCCGGTTAACTCATCTACTCGTTAACTTATCTACACGGCCAAAAACGTTCAACTCATCTAAACGGCTAAAATTCGTTAACTCATCTACACGGCCAAAAAGGGGTCAACTCATCTAATCGTTAACTCATCTATTCGTTAACTCATCTACACGGCCAAAAAGGGTCAACTCATCCAATCCTTGGAAACGAGACTATTGAGTCTCCGGCCGTTTGAGTCTCTGGCCGTCTGAGTCTCTGGCCGTCTGAGTCTCCGGCCGTTTGAGTCTTTGGCCATATGAGTCTCCGGCCGTTTGAGTCTCTCGCCGTCTGAGTCTCTCGCCGTTTGAGTCTCTCGCCGTTTGAGTCTCTCGCCGTTTGAGTCTCTGGTAAGTTGAGTCCATGACCAATTGAGTCCATGACCAGTTGAGTCCATGGCCAGTTGAGTCCATGACCAGTTGAGTCCATGGCCAGTTGAGTCCATGACCAGTTGAGTCCATGGCCAGTTGAGTCCATGGCCAATTGAGTCCATGACCAGTTGAGTCCATGGCCATTTGCTACTGGCCATGGACTCAACCGGCCGGAGACTCAATAGTCTCGTTTCCAAGGATTGGATGAGTTGACCCTTTTTGGCCGTGTAGATGAGTTAAGGATTAGATGAGTTAACGATTAGATGAGTTAACCCTTTTTGGCCGTGTAGATGAGTTAACGAATAGATGAGTTAACGATTAGATGAGTTGATCCCTTTTTGGCCGTGTAGATGAGTTAACGAATAGATGAGTTAACGATTAGATGAGTTGTATAGGAGCCGTTATATAGCGGATATGTATTTAGTGTATGGTACTTCTATTTTAATTTATCGTTTTGTTGTAATTAAATTAAATAAAATATTTTGATAAAATCTGATACGAGTAAATGAAATTATTTTTTTAATCTTTAAAGAAAACATTTTTATTCATTCCTTATGTAAATCCACATACAAACAGACTGCGAAGGAATACTTAGAGAGATTAGATAAGCACATACAAATAAGAGAGACTAAAAAAAGAATATATCTAGTAAATGTAACTCGTAAAATAATTTCTTTTAAAGAAAAGGAAAATTTAGTTATTAAGCAAGAGATTTTGTTTCCGTGTTCCGGCCGTCTTCCGACGTGTCCGCTTTCCGTTTTCCGAGTGCGTCTTTTCCGCAGACGCTAATTTTTGGGAAGCGTACTTTTTGGTACGTGTAAATTTGTTTGATAAAATGTTAGGCCTATTTAATTTTTTTGCCCTCGAAATACAAAAGAGGAAGATTTTGTTACTAAATAGTAGATTTTGTTTCCGTGTCTTAATTTGGAATTAAAAAATCATTTGTAAAGCATATGGTATGCGGAGTGATGTAATGCACAACACATCAGTACGGTTTACTGGTTCGCTCCCAGCCGCCGAATAACTTTTTCCACTATCTTCATAATTTTGAAAAATGCCGAAACTTGTCAACTGAGGGAGAAAGTAAGCTATCTTTTAACATTAAGAACTTCCAAATCGGATATCGATGAACGGAATTACATAATTAAATTTCCGCCACAGTAGTTTGGAAGTGTGGTTCTTTTAATAGAGGCTCACAGAATTTGTCTCGAGTTATAGTTATTAACCTGTACTCCCCAGTTTTCGGTTATGCCCGATTTTCAACTTCCAGTTAAAAATTCTATACTTGGGGTATATTTTTAAATCGAAACCGGACGTCACCGATTTCTGTTATCTTCGGTTTTTGACACCCGGTTTCTGTTCGATTAACCGACCCCCAAAAACCCTAATTTTTAATATAATTTCAATTTTTATTTGTTTAGGACAAAATAAAGGGGAAACGAAAAAGGAGAAGAAAAGATAAAAGAAAAAAAAAGAAAAGAAAGAGAAAAAGAGAAATAGTATGTGTAGAAAAGAAATAAATAGAAAGAAAGAGAACAGTTAATATATAAACAATTTAAGCAGAAGAACAACTCGTCAAATAAAATAACAAAATTAGCAACAAATAATTAACAAATAATTCTGAAAATATCCCTGGTCCCTTTGTATTCGGACGAAGAAATCTTTCGCCTTTTACTAAAGATTTCCGTGCAGGGGGACGCTTATGGGTTTACCCTAATTTTTGGAAGCATTTCTTTTTGGAAATGCGTAAATTCTTCTTTTTTGTTGTTGCGAATTGCAACGAAAGAATTTTTTTTAATATTTAAAAATGATTAATCATAAAACAAAAATAATTTTGGTTTATTTTTATTTTTGAACCGCCTTAAAAATGTTTGTTTAAAAAGACAAGAAAAAGCCCAAAAACAATCATCTTCAATTTTTTTACTTTCCATTCTTTATAAATTTTCACTCTCTAAAAAGGCTTTTTCTGGTCGACACGAATTTTACTTTGGAAGAAATAAATTTAAATAAATCTGATTCTTTATTTTTTGAGAATTATCCGGGAAATTCTCTATTTTTATTGTTCCTTACTGAATTTAGGTTCAGTACAGAAGGTGAAAAGAGTAAATATATTTTAGGCGGATTATATATTATTCTCCTTTTCCACATTTGTGTTAAAATTTTGGACTTATGTATGTTTAAATAAGTTTAAAATTTCAATTTAGAAACGACTTACCAAACCGCAAAAAAAAGGACAGTAATTTTTATAAGACAATTAATTAAAATACGTGATTTTGATTTATAAATTGGAGAGAGGATAATAATGTTTAACATTTTGCTTAATAAATGTCTAACATTTTGTTAGAGAAAAATAGAAAAAGAAATTCTCTTTAGAAAAGAGAAAGAGAATACATATATATTTACAACATATCGAATATTTTCTTTCCAAAAAATAAAATAAATTTTAAATATTTATTCATTCTGTTGTGTATGGGTGTTTAGTATAAAAGCCAGCACGTCGACAAGTCTCGGACACACCGCGTCGATGTGACGCTAATTTTTGGGTAGCGATTCGACGGGATCGCGTAAATTTTGTTGGAGTTATTTTTTTCTAAAAATAAATATTTTATTTTATAATTTTGGACTTTTATTAATACATAATGTAAATTAAAAAAATAATTAAATATAAGGATTAACAAGATTATTTAATTATAATTAAATCAAAACTGATAGTATTAAAAAATAAAAATTTAATAATATTTACTGTATTTACTCTCACTCCACTATTATCTCCTACAACGAGAGCTGAAATAATAATTTTTTAAAATTATTTACATATTAAAGATTCCTTCTAAACTAATTATTTATTTTCCAAATTTTATTTTGTAAATTCCAAAATTATTTTTAAACGTTCCACTTAGAGAACAACACCAAAATTCGGCGAAAAACAAGAGAGGGAATATTAATTAAATTAATTAATTAAAGAAAATTTTATTTAATCATAAAAGTGTATTTTTAATTAATTTTTCTTTTTAAGCAATTTTAGAGGTCGTTAATAAATTAATTTTTGATTATTTAAGATTATTATTTTTAAATAATATTTTTATTTATTTGGAAATTTAAAAAAATATAAAATTTTAATTACATCTCTTAATTAACCTCTCCAGACTAACTTATTTTAATATTTATTGTTATTTAACCATAAATTGAAAATCTAAAAAATCAAAATCCTGCGCATTATCTAATTAGTTTTATTCAACTCACAATTATCAAAGCTTCAATTCCCTATTGAAAATAAAAAAATATTTTATAAATATTAATTATATAATTAACAAAAAAAAGTTAAAATAAACGAAATCGAGATTTCTAAAAATATTTTAGTTAATTTAAATGTTTATTACATATTACAGTTTACTTTTCCCTATTTTATTTCCAACAAATATAAAGGCTGGATATGGACATGGTATTTAATTTGTTAATTAATTAAAAATAAATTTATTTTTTAAAATTTTCTCGAATATTCTTCCCTTTCTGAAAATTTTATTTAATTTTTTAAAGCTCCAATGCGCTACTACCATCAACAAACCCAACAACAACCTACAGTGCCTCAACTTTATGTAATTAATTAATTAATATGGATGTTGCTCCCTAATTCCTATTTTTGTTTTCCAATTTTTAAATTAAATTTGCAACATCCCTGATACAAAATTCTCCTCCCTTTTATTCAGTTTTAGTTCTCATCTGTTTGCCAAAATTTTTTTTTTATTTAATTATTAAAAAAATTTTTTAATCAAAAAAATATATTAAATTAATTAATATTTAATAGTATGCACCAAATATAAATTCACCAATTCCTTTACATGTTCAAAGAAGAATTATGCGGTTTTGTACAAATAAACACCCAGAACATCCTAAATGCAGGTATAACCCAGGGATGGTTATGGATACGGATAATATCTGGATATCCGGATTTTGCTACACGGATAGCAAAACCGTGTCCATGTCCTAGTCTAGTATTAACCTCTACTTAAACTGAGAATAATTTAAAAATATGCACATATTAATTAAGGACTTAATGACTGGTTAACAATCGAGATTAATATAAATTAAATTTGGTTTTAGATTTTTAAACGAGTGATTTATCACATATCATTCCAATTCTTAATTGTAATTAAATAAATAAACCTTTAAAAAATATTTTTTTCTTTAATTTTTATTTAGAGCCCATCCAGAATGGATATTTCCCAAAGGTTCATTACCCTCAAATCCATTCACAAACGATGATGATAGTGACGAATTTCCCCAAATTGTAAATTTTAAATTGCCTCCAGTTCCACATCCCTACAAAATTGAGAGAAATCCTTTAATTGGAGGTTTGTTCTTCTAAAGAAAATATAAATTTAAAAATTTCAATTTTAGTCCCTGAAGAATTAAAAAAAGTAATTAAAGCCACAGAAAATATTCAAAACCCAAATAGTATTCAACAAACAATAATGGTTTTTTAAATTAATATTTAAATTAATTAAAAAACAAAAATTAGGGAATATGTGCACAGACTGGTGATTGTATGACACAAAAACCGGAAGCAATTAACCAAAGAGCTAATATTGCAGAACAAGAAGTTTCGATTGCAAGAGGATTGAAGTTAGAAAAAAAATTAATTTTTAAAAGTCTTCTAAAAATTATTAATTTTTAAGTCCTCATAAACCTTTGGAAGAAATTGATTTTGAAGTAGAATTACGGTTATCTCGTTCATTCCAAGTAAAAGAAGGATTGGTAAAGCTTGGTGGACTTGATAAATTTGTAGAAATTAAAATAAAAAATAAAATTATTTTAAAATTTAGTTGACTTCTTCAAATAATGGAGTATATCAAGAGGATATTTTACTTTCTGAACATCAATCAAATGCTATGATATTTCAAATAGAAAATCAAATACAGGTAGTTGGAGAGAAGGAAAATTTGAGAACTTATCCATTATATGTATTCTCTTAAGCCATTATATCCTCCATTGTATCCTCTAATAAAACAAAAATATAAGGTCCTTTCCTCTACTCTTCAGTTGTACTTACCCAGCATCGTACAACTGAATGTAAAACAAATTTTCAACGGGGAGCTTAAATCCCACCCAATTTTTTACTATTTTTTGGAAGGGTTAATACATTACCTTAACATTTAAAATATCAGGAGGCAGCATCACATCGTCATAAAAGAGCTGGAAATTCTGTATTTTTCGAAGGAGTGCCAGCATTACGTTGGCCTAGAGATGAGCCGATAAAATATACTTTTCACCCAACAATTACTTGTATTTTTATTTAAACAAATTTTTTTAAAAATATTTTCTCTCTTAGTGGAAGTAGATAAAGAAACAATTCGTTCAGCAATAAATGAAATTCGATCAAAAGTTCCCTGTTTGAGTTTTGAAGAGATTGAATATACACAAGCATTGGACTCGAGAATAATTTATATTAAAGCGGGAGCTGCTGGAACGTAATTAATTTTAAGAATTTTTAAATTCATTAACAGAGGTAAAATTATCTCATTTATACATAATAAAGACGAGGGTTTATCGAAATTTAAGAGTGATATCTCGAAAATGGAAATATTTATATAAAATCTTGTCTAGACCCAATCTCCACTTAAAAACAATAATCATAATTATTTAAAAATTTTAAAAATTCTTAAAAATTTCCAAGTTGTGGCCAAGGATCTGTTGGCCGTCAAGATCCTGTCAATGCAGTTTACCTAACTTTTTCCTGTTCAAATTCAATAGGGGTTGCTATACACGAAACACTTCATGCTCTCGGACTACAACACGAACAAATGAGGATTGGTAATTGAAATATACAAATAAATAAATAAATAAATTTTAAAGATCGTGATCGTTATATTAATATAGACTATAATAATTTGGATCCAAAAAATTATGCAGAATTTGCTATTGTCGACAAAACTAAATATACGAGTTATGGTAAACAAGTATTTAATTTAAACATTAAAAAACAAAAATAAATATCCAAAATAAAAATAATTTATTTAAAAAAATATTTTTTATGAATTAAATACGACTATGCCTCAATTATGCATTATTCAAGTACTTCTGGAACACGAAATTTTCAGAGGAAAACAATGACAGCTAAGGTGTGTTTTTCAATTATTTTTAAAATTTAATTTAAATAAAAACAGATAAATCCAGCAAGAAATGATCCTTTAATGGGACAGAGAAATGGACTTACTGCTTCGGATATTGCTGAACTACACCGAATGTATTGTGCTCCTGGTGAGAATTTATATAAAAATATTTTTTTTAATATCAGCAATCCCTCCTAGGTACTATTCTCTATTATTTTCCAGATTAGGGTTGGTAGATCCTGAGAAAAATCTGAACATTTTTCGGATCTGAATATCCGAAACTGCCAATATCATTTCAGATTATTTATTTAATATTCCAAAAATAGCAAAAAGAATATAAACATTAAACTCGAAATTTTTAGAAAAGGATGGATTTACTTAGATATTTCTGAATATAAAAAAGTTATTGCAACATAAAACCAAATAAATTATTCTCCGAAAATTAAATTAATTTTTAGTGAAAGAATATTAAAAAATAAATTTTTTATTAAAAATATTTTTTTTATATTAAAAAGAATCCTGTGCTGACTCGAATGTTTATTGTGGTGCCTGGGCTGTCCAGAATTTATGTACAGGTTGGAATCAAGGAGCTCGAAATTGGATGACAGAGAATTGTCCAAAATCGTGTGGATTATGTACAGAATGATATTTAAAAAATACTTTTTTTAATTTTAAAAAAACTATTTATTTATGTAGAAAATAAATGAGAAAATACAAAATTAAATAATTATCTCAATTAAATTTTAGATAAATTTAAACAAATTTATTTTTATTTTAAATAAATTTTTATTTAAAGTAGGGCCTTCAAAATTTCAAAACTTTTTTTAATTTATTTTGTTTATGCTTTTCCTTTTGCCGACGATATTTCCGGGCCTCCTAAACATTAAAAATCTTTAAACAAGATAGACATTCACGTGTTAACTATCACGCTTTTTTAAATTAAATTTTCAATTGATTATTTTTGATTGACTAATTTCCAACAAGTCAATATTTAGAGAAATTTTTATTTAAATTTATTTAAGAGAGAATATTAGAGATAGAAAGAAAAAAATAGAAAAAAAATTTGTCTAGATTTCTACAACTAAATTCAAATTTCGTTTCAGAGGATCTTAATTAAATATAGTGTCTTTACCGAAAATAAAACTATTTTCTAACGAAAAAATTTCTATATTAAAAATAAAGTTTTTTTATTTAACCATTAAAAGTTTATTTTCCCTCAAATATCAACAACATCCTCTCCAAACTTCAAATTTTATAAAACTTTCTGTTTTAGAGAATATTTTTAAATAAAACAAACATTTATCTATAGTCAATGCCAAATTTTGAAATTTTCAGCGGCGCATTGCAGGGGAGGGAGGGGGGGATAGGGTAAGGGAGGGAAGGAAGGGAGGGGAGGGGAAAAGCAGGGATGGATGAAGCAGTTGCTTAATTAATAATTCATTTCATTTAGTAAAAAAATCTATCTACAATATAACTAACCCTCCTCCCAATAAAATGAATTTTTATTTTTAATTGAAGCGAAATAAAATAAAATATCAGAGCTAAAACTTAAAATTAAAATATATTATAACGAAATTGTTTAATTAAAGTTTCTTAACTCAATTAAAAAGGAGGAAATATAGCTAAGAAAATCCCTTTTCTCTAAATTGAGAGAAAAATACTCAAATTTAATTTACTTAAAAATCAAAATTTTATTTATTAAGAGCTTTAAAATAAATATATTGCTTGACTTTTTTCATCCCCAAATTTTGGAGCTGTCCTGTTGTTAGTGGTGTCGCGATAGGTAAAAGCCCGTGAAAGCGTCAGTCTAGCGGGGCTAGTCAATGATTCCCGTTGTTCTACATGGGATAAACTGTTATTTTTGTGCACGTCAACAACGGACAACCCTCGGACATAACATGCCCAAAGATGCCAAAACCCAGGCAATTTCTCCAATCTGTGGGTGACAACAGATTGGAAATTCTATCACTTAAAATAATTTATTTAATTTGGTAAAAGAATATTAAATATTCTACATAAATTAAACTATTTAATCATGGAATTTTCGGAAAAAATTTTTGAATGAAAGGAAAAAACTTTTTTTCAAACAATGGGAAATTTTTTAAAATATTTACTAATTTTTAAATATAATATTTATCTATTTAATAATTTTTAAAAAGAAACATTTACTAATTTTTTTTAATTTTTTTTTTCAAAATGAAACAAAATTATTATTTTATTCTCTTCTGTCTTCTTCAACATTTTATTTTAAATGTTAATTGTTCGGAAGAATATTTTTTTGTGAAAGTTTTACCAAGTGAATTTAAATGGAATATTGAGGTTGAATGTTCTAAATGTACAGAAATTTTAAAAAAAGTAATTATAATTAATTTTATAAAAATTATTTCAAAAAGGATTTAATACAAAAAATCATTCATTTAATTTTTAGGCATCATCAAAAAGTAAAGTTACAAGGTTTACATTGTTTCATAATGATGAAACCATAAATGAATTAAAAATAAAAATAACTTTGTTAGAAGAAGATAATCATGCGGTAAATTTAATCAAAGCCTTTAATGTTTTAAAAGCCGGATCCAAAACTTTTCTAATTTTGGCTCCTGTTAGATGTGAAAGATTTTTTAAAAGCTAGCTTTCGATGTTATACACAGCACTGATAATAAATTAACGGCAAAAAATTTTTAGTTTTTGTTTTTACAAAAAAATTAAAAATACATAATTTTTAATTTAAAAAATTTTTAAACATTTTCCCTTTGCATTAAAGGAAAATGAATGGAAGATTAAAAATATTAATTTTAATAAATTATATGTATTCGATTTTTTTGATGGTACCTTCAACAATGAAAAAAATATACCATCCCATTCTGGTATTAACCGGTAATTCAATTAAAATTAAAATTTATTCTCGAATTTATTTTTTAAGTTCTTCGTTTGGTTATTCCGAAGATGATCCATTCATTAAAGATTTGACTGAAAAACTTAGGGAAGAAAATAAAAGATTAAAAGAAAAAGCTGCTAATAGAGGAAGTTCAAGTTCTTCTTATGGAAATAATACTGACGATAACAATGATAATTTAAAATTTGAAAATCTCTCGATAACACAAAATAAAGTCCCAAAACCCAAAAGAAAAGGAAATAAAAACTCTAAAATTGGAAATGTTAGCCCAAGTTCTCAAGGAAGTTCTAACGACAATGAAAGTAGCTATTTAAATTATTTAATTCAAATATAATTTAAATTAAGGCAATTTTGGAGCCCCTCATGTTCACCCATCTTTTGGACATGGATATAGTTATCCAGATCATTTAACTTCTCCTCATCATCATTATGGCGATGCTGCACATCAATTACCCCAGCAAATACCCTATCAATTACCCCACATCAATTACCCTCATAATCATGGATGGCAGCATCCATACCCTTATAATTCTTCTGGTTTTCCTCCAAATTTTGTTCCAATCCAACCACAACCAAATGAAATTACACATTTTGCAGACACAAATACAGATACCTATTCTGGTAATTTTAAATATTCAAATTATAGATAAAAGGCCAAGTTTATTTTAAAAATTCGAATTATGTATTTAAAAAAAAAACAGTGAAAATAGACCTTAATCCTTAATAAAATATGTTCCCACTAGTTGTTAATATTAATGTTAATTTGACTTTATAATTAAAAACTTGAGGTTTTATAATGGAGGTACTAATTTAAAATTTACTTATTTTAGGGAGTGATGGGCCGCCAGTATCCTCGGTAACTCCAGACTTCAATAATCCAAATGAAAGTGAATATTCAAATGATGACCAGAATTGTACTATCTGTTGATTATATTTAGATGTTGATGAGAATTAAAACAACAAAAAAAACTTTTAAATTTTTTGGGTAGCTTAAAAAACTCCAAAATTTGGTTATAGAAAAGTTTTCAACAAAAATATGTAGTATTGTCCCACAAATTTTATTTTTAAAATAGAAAAAAACAGGTAAAAAGATATACCGTAAATGCTCTACTAAATACCCTCTCTCAAATAATTACCTTCGCTCTATTAATTACTCCCTTCAGCGAGAAGACGAACAATAATTACCCAGGGTTATTATTAGAGTATTTACGGTATATGTACATTTTTAGTGTCAATCTACAAAAATATTTTTTCTTTGTTTTATCAAATTTACCGTATTTTCTCGATTAATTCCCCTCCCTCGAATAATTCCCCCTCTCTATTCCTCATGCTAGAGTTGGGTTGAAACAAAAATTCCCCACCCCCAAATACACAACTGCACGTTCAAATGCCAAAACTCGAATAATTCCCCTCCTTCGATTAATTCCCCATGCCAAGGAAGGGTTAAAAAATAATTCCAGGGGAATTAATCAAGAAAATACAGTATATATACATTTTTTAAATTAGTCAATTCACTCTATTTTAAATTAATTTATTTTTCACAATTTTTTTGTTAAATTTTTTTATTTTTCACATCATCTGTCCTATTAATTTTAAAATATTTTCTTTTTATTTTTTTTTGGATTAAATATTTCTTTAAAAATGTTTTAAGCTGATTTTTCTCAACAAAGTAATTCAAAAAAACTGTATTTTGTTATTACATTTTTGAAGTATGTATTATTTATTTTATTATATCATTTAATTTTCTTTTCATTTTATAAAGATTTTTCTTGGGAATTTTTAAAGTTTTATTTAGCAGAGAACGGTCAAAAATCAGAAACATTTATACACAAATATCGGGATGGTTCATCGGGAAATATCGGGAATATAAAAGGAGACTTTTTCGACTTAAAACCTGAGGCGAGAATTATTTGAAACCCTGGCCCGAAATCCGTTATTTTTGTTAAAGAAAGAAATCTGGCTTCTTGGTCCTCCAAAATCTTAAAACTTTTGCTTGCGGTGCTGAAAAGGAAGAAAGCTGTGTTAAAACTTAAAGCTATATTTATGGATCTGGTGTATTATCAAAGGATCAAGAGTGGTTGAGGGGGGTTAGGGGGGGGGGTTAGGGGGTATCGGTAGAAAAATACAAAAATGCAAACATTAGAAACTTGAGAAAAATGACTTTTTGAGCCAGTCCAAGAAAGCAAGGAAGAAGGAAATATGTATAAGTAAGGAAAAAGTAAGGAAAAATATCAACCCGTCACGATTTGCATATAGAGAACAAAATTATAATATATTATACCTATAATTGTTTTTCTAGCTTTTTTTAAACAATTTGCCAAAAATTTTTTTACTTCGACGGTCTTTAAAATTTCAAAAGCATGTTTGTCTATTTAGTTATTTGTCATGACTTTCCTTCTCCCGACATAAGTCTTTAAACGAAATAGACATTCACTTAAAGCATTAGCTAGTCTGCTATAATTTTATTTTAAAAATTTTTCCATTGATTGGTTTTTGATCGTCAAAATTTTCCAGCATGTCAATATTATGTAGAGATTTTTATTTAAATTTATTTTAAAGAGAATATTAGAGATTGAAAGAAAAAGATAGTAGAAAATAAAACTTTAATTAAATACAGTAAATGCTCTATTAATTACCCCCTCTCAAATAATTACCCCCTCCGGTAAGAGATTGAAACAAAAATTACCCAGAGTAATTATTTAAGCATTCAAGGTAATTTATTTATTCATGAATGCAGTCTACTTTGTCTACACCTAAACTTGTTTTAGAGAATTTTAACAAAGTATAAATACAATTGTTTTTGTATGAAATCAAAAAGTTTTATCAAAAGTTTATTTTCCAAAGTTATTAAAGTTTATTTCAATTACCAACAGAAAAATTATTTTTAAATAAATTTTTAAACATTTATAGTCAATGCCAGATTTTAAAATTCTTGCCAATGCGCAGAGAGAGGTGAATTCAAAATTAGAGATCGGAAAGGGTCCGGGACCCGGACCCGTTTCCCGGTTTTCGGTTCCCCTTTCCCGGTTTTTTGAAGCAACCGCCCGGTCCGGGTCCCTCCCGGACAACTTTCAGAACCCGTTTCCCGGCTCCCGGACCCGGTTTTTTCAAAATTACGATTTCTATTCAAAATTTAAATAAATACTATTTTCACAAATTAAAATTTTATTTTATGTAATTTTAAATAAAAAATATGTATTTTATTTTTATTTTAAATAAATTTTTATTTAAAGTAGGCTTTCAAAATTTCAAAAGTTTATTTTATTTATTTTGTTTATGCTTTTCATTTTACCGACAATATTTCCGGGCCTCTTAAACATTAAAAATCTTTAAACAAAATAGACATTCACGTGTTAACTATCACGCCATAATTTTTTAAATTAAATTTTCAATTGATTATTTTTGATTGACTAATTTCCAACAAGTAAATATTTAGAGAGATTTTTATTTAAATTTAAAGTATTTAAGAGAGAATATTAGAGATAGAAAGAAAAAAATAGAAAATTAAAAATTTAGTTGAAAAACATTTCTACAACTTTAAATTTTGTTTTATGAGAGGATCTTAATTAAATAGTATAATGTTTTTAACTGAAATAAACTACTATTTTCTAAAGAAAAAACATTTCTATGTTTAAAAACAAATTTTTTTTATTTTCCCTCAAATATCAACAATACCCTCTCCAAACTTCAAATATTATAAAGCTTTTTGTTTTAGAGAATATTTTTAAATAAAAACATTTATAGTCAAAGCCAAATTTTGAAATTTTCAGCGGCGCGTTGCAGGGGGGAGGATAGGAGGGAGAGGAGGGAGAGGAGGGGATGGAAGGAGAGGGGATATGTGTATGTACATATATGAAGGGAGGGAGGGAAAGCAATTGCTTAATTATTTATTCTTAATAATTTTTATTAGAAATCAACATTACACAAATTCACTCTCTCCCTCTCTCCTTTCCAATAAAATAAATTTAAAATAAAATAAAATTAAAAAAATAAGAAGAGAGATAGCAAAATCTCTGAAGAGGCCAAGAATGTCTCCAAACTCTTTGAATGTGTATATTAAGACCAATAATAGGAAAGGTTCTGTCTACGAGTAGGAGCAGAACTAGCTCGACTTTCAAATATTTGGTATTTGAAGAAATATCCTTTTTTCTTTTATTTTATAAGCAAGAGGTACGGGTAAAATTAGGGGTGGTATACGGTTAAAAAAAATTATAAATTTCCATTCAACCTAATAAATATCTAATATTTATTTATTTATTTTTACAAAGATGAAATTTTTGATTACTTTTTTATTCTTTATTATTAACAATTTTATTTTAAACCTGAATGCATTAAAAAGTGATTTTCATGTGGAGGTGGTACCGAAAGAACATTCTTGGAATATTAAAATATTTTGTCAAGAATGTTTAAATGAAAAATACAAAAAAGTAATTTTTCTTAAGATTTTATACACATAATAATGCACTCTTTATTAATAACTGCTCAACTTAAAAGGTCTGAAAGATTGACCCAATAATCCCTGTAGCAAATGTTGAAACACTAATTACCCCCTTAAAACTAGTTATGATTAGCTTGCCTAAAATAAACTCTAATAATTACCCTTCCTCTATTAATTACCCAGGGTAATTAATAGAATATATACAGTAAATGCATCAAAGTAAAAAACTTAATTTTAAGGTATTACCCAAAGATTACGTAGGTACAACATTCACCCTTGAACATGAAGAAGGTATTAGTGGGTTACATGTAGTAATTAAGTCAACAGAAAAAATTCTTGGTCATCAAAGGGTAAATTTTATTTTATACAAAAAATTTAAATATGTATATCTGATGCATAAAGACATTTCTTTTTTAATATCAAAATTATAATTAAAAATTAGCAAACTTTTCATAATTTAAAAAGTTTAAGAAAAGCATAAAAACATTTAAAATCTTTAGTAAAATATTTAATTGGCCTAAACTAAAATTTATTAAAATTATTTAAGTCTCAAGAATGGACTCTTACTCCTCAACAAAATAATGAGAAGTTAAATGTTTTTAATTTTTTAAAATCACATCAATTTAATTTTGGTTATTTTGAACCAAATGAACAATTTGAATATTTTTTAAAAATTAAGGTATATATTAATAAAAATATTTTTTTAACTTTATCATTCATTGTCGTAAAATGACACCTTTTTAACACATTAAAAATTTAATCAGTACAACTGAATGGAAAATTACTCTGAAAAATAAAAATTGGGTTACCCCATAGAAAATTTAGTGGGCTTTCATGCTTCAAAAATTATAGGCTATAAATTGTCCAAAAAATTTATTACTTACCCTGTTCCCAGG